GAGTTGAACCATGTTCAAACACTTTGTTTGAAGTACTGGATAATAACTTAAATGGGCTTGTCGATCTAAATGCAAGCTCTTCATCTAAACCAAGATGATTCAAGCACATATTCTATGGATTGCTACACTACAGAAGTATATCGACAGACTTATGCCGAGATTGTCTACCCTATTTCACATCCTTCTGAGTGGGACATACCAGATGACTTACAAACAGTTTTGCCACCAACCATGGACAGAAGGCTACCTGGCCGACCAAAAAGTCACGATCGTATACCGTCTAAAAAGTGGTCATACAAGGTTGACATGTGGATCACCATGCCATCACAATCATCTTTTCCTCTACCAAAATATAGATCATCATCAAAATCCAAAGCTCATATGGTGTCAAGAAAAAGGCAATCAAAATCGAATCATCTTTAAAATCCCAATCACAACTGCTTCACCTTTTGGGTCTGTTAACTAGGTGATTTTTAAATGCAACGTTGTATTATGTAGATTTTATGTGTGAACTTTTAACATTTTCAGTTAGGCATGTATTAGTAACTTGAGTTTGAAAATTGCTATGATCTGTTCCAGTTGTTATCACTTAATAGGCAATCATCTTAATGTCCATCGCAACGCGGAAATTACTATCGCATGCGAAATGAAAATCGCAACGAGAGAATTGCAATGCGAATGAAAATCGCAACGAGGGAATCGCAATGCGAAATGAAAATCGCAACGCGAATTTAATTTCGCGTTGCGATTTTCATTTTCGCGTTGCGATTCTCTCGTTGCGATTTTCATTTCGCATTGCGATACTTTTTGCCTTCAAACATAATGCATATTGAAATCAAAAATCACCATTACATTTCAATCAATTAAACAAGCACAAATAAGAATTATGTTAACATCAATTAAACAATCAACTTTTACAAATCACCTTTTACAAATCAATTAACATCAAAAATAAGCAATAATTATTAGAGAAATAACACTTCTACTATTGAATCAACTTTTGCAGCCATACATCATTTTCACGCAGCTCACTTCTGAGATTAACCTGCATAACCAAACATTGCTCAAACAACACTTTCTACACATCTAAAACCTACAAACAGCAAATTATTGAATTCTAGGTACTTAACCAAACATTTTCAAACCACAAGCCTATAAACATACCAATTGTTTATGGACATTTTTATAACGCGATGCAGGTAGTGCAGCGTCTCGTATATATCGATCTAGCCATATAATGTCGAAACCACAAGCCTACGCAGCTCTATCTATATCGGTGGGAGGTAGATACTTTATACTTCCTGTGATCAACGGTCCAACGCCAAGCATACGAGAGGACCACAATCCCTCTGGGTCCTTTCGTTTGTTTGTGGTGCGGTCGTCTCTGCTAACTGTAATATTGAGCTTCTTTGGCTTCTTGTTTCCAGAACGAGTCCAATAATTTATCGCATCCAAGTATTTAGCCAAATAAGAGCTCCATCCCTTAATATATCTTAAATAAGCCAATGATATGTAATTTATCATGCTGTCATATACTATTGCCTTAAGGGATGGGATCTGAAGCTCGACGAGAAGCCAATGGTTACGTTCCAAAACAGGATAAACACTGCAATCATAAGTAATAATTTCATTCATTTGCGCACTTATTTATGAATACCTTTAAACTCAATCTAAAATAAACACTAACCTTATCGACCTCCCACCATGCAGGATAAAGTTTAGCTTGTCCATTGCCCAACGCAAATGATTCATCTCGTTGAGTCTTCAAGTGACTGCGTTAAAGCCGTCGGCATTATTGTATACCGTGTATTTCTTTTATTTTCCTTAGTTTCCTAATTATTAGTAGACGTGACACCCACGCATCGATATGCTGTTTTACAAAAAAATACATATATTAGTGAATTACATTCCCCTGGCTTCGCTCGTGTAGATAAAATCAACTGCGGTCTTAGCCCAAAGGGTGTTATCCAGAATTGTGTCCGGTAGTGTTTCCTCTCCTCTCAGATCCGGTATGGTACTGGCCGGTAACTCATACGAGAGCCACTTGAATCCATCATGTCCGGCACGTCAGAGGGTTTCTCAAGAATCCTACATATGACGCCATGTGAATCGGGCTCTTGAATGTGGAGGGACCTCTTCAACGGACAGTGGCCTCTTGAACGGGAGGGGACTCTCGAGGAATGATAGGGCCTCTTCAACGATAGGAGTGGACTCTTGAGGGATGATAGGCGAGTCGGGCTTCTTCTTGTGGTGTCTTCGCACTATTGGGGTATACGGAGACTTAATAGCACGTGCACGCCGTCTGATGCGTGAACTCTGTCGTGCAAGAAAACCCGACGTAAAGCATCCACCTTATCGGTCCGCTAAATAAAAATACAAATATCAGTAAATAAACAGACATGATATTTAAACAGTGAAAACAAAGATAAATATATTTCAAACTTTCAACCAAAAGACAAAACAAGACAAATACTAACTTCACAGTGTTAAAGTAAAAAGTTTAGCAGTTTTGGCAGCAACCGAATAAATTTACCAAGCAATCTAAGTGAAATGGTTAATTTAAGTGAAATTACGAGTAAATTTATCATCAAGTTAATATGAAAATCTTAAACTTACCTCGTTGCGTAGAGTATGAACCTCATTCTGCAACGATACTACCATCTCACGTAGAGCGGCAACCTCACCACGTAAAGTAGACACCTCCACACGCCATGCACCATCGTTATCGCGTAGAGTACCGATCTCCTCACGCAAGGCATTGACCTCATCACGTAACTCCCTTGACTCATCCCGTGGAGGGGAGAACAGGAGATAGAAGTCGTGGCATCTTTGTCGGTCACCTATCATGAGGTGATGGTGGAGAAGAGACTCGATGATGTGACGGATAGGTGATGGCTCTCGTTGTAAGGTGTATAGTCGGGTCGATCAGGTGATGGCTTTGGGTGAGGTGATGGCTCTCGAAGTGGAGGAAGTGGAGGCTGCTCATCATTCGTGCCATCAAAAAACGCTGACTAGCTTGCCACCAATCAGTGGCAAGCTCAGCCTCCGTGGGTGTCAGTCTCATTAATGGAGTGTTGGCCTCCTAATAATATAAAACTAAAACAAAGTTAAACGTCTACTATTAATAACTTGTTTATATATGATAGTATTTGTGTTAACTTACATTATTTATTGTCGCATATGGTATTAAGTCTTCCCAATCCAACATACGTTTCCTCTTCCAGGAAATAGCCCTAGGAATATCATCTGAGGATTTTAATGCATATGTCCGCATGCTGGGGAAAGCCTCGAATATCCAAATCTACAAACAATATAATAACAACATTAGTAATTGTTAAATAATTAATTATAATTTTGAAAACATTATATAGAAATTCTTACCTTAAGGCCCAAACAAAGCCTGACAAAGTGTATTTCGACCCATCGCCCCGCAAACTTTTGCGGTCATCAAAGGCAGACGACAACTTAGTCCAGGTAGCTTTCCATATATACGAACTCCACGGAAACAGATTCCATGCATTTAGGTCCTCTACCAATAATATTAGCTCCTGAGGAATAGGTTGTCTGGCCTCTCTGCCTAGAAAGCCGGCATACAAAGTAGTAGAAGCATACTCGACAACATCGACGTCATTCATCTGAGTAAAACCATCTTTCTTATTAAACAATTTCTTCATGTCGTCGACGTGTAAGTTCGGCTTCTCTATTGACTCATCAGGAAAAACCCTGGATAACCATGATGGGCGGGTGATATGACGAGTGTACCGGCCTACATCATCGTGTCCGAATCGTAGACCAGTGATTAAGCAGAACTCCTTCCGCCCAAAACAAGTATACGCCGGTGGAAATGAAACCATATCTCTTCCTCACCACGTTGTATACTGTCGGGTAGATCGCTAGTCATGGTCTGAAGCCACAATGGGTCAAACTAGCATCTCCACCCGGATGCTGTACTCTCAGCCATGGCCCGAAGCAGGTTTCTTCAAACAATTTTCTTTGTGCAGGTGAAAGCTTCGAAGCAATTGTAGTGGCTAGGCTAACTTATTCCTTAATGTCAATGAAGCCGAAAAAATTTCTACAAAAAACAATAAACATACCAAGTTAATATACCAAAATTACACTGTCAAGATATACCAAAAACAAAACAATAAACATAATAGTAGTTATTCTTGAAACTAAAATTTGCAACACTGTTTCTGTCTTTTGGTTGAAATGAAATCGCAACGAGATAATGAGAATCGCAACGCGGAAATGACTATCGCAACGAGAGAATCGCAACGCGAAATGACTATCGCGACCAGACAATCGCAACGCGAAATGAAAATCGCAACCGCGAAATTAAAATCGCAACGCGAAATGAAAATCGCAACGCGAAATGAAAATCGCAATGCGATTTTGGTTTCGCGTTGCGATTATCTCATTGCGATAGTCATTTCCGCGTTGCGATTCTCATTCTCGAAACTATTCTTCTTCTGCATTACTTCAACCAAAAGACAAAGCAAACACAAATACTAACTTCACAGGCTAAACAGTTTAGCAGTATTGGCAGCAATCGAATGAATTTAATAAGAAATCTAAGTGAAATGGTTAATCTATTATTGAAATTACCAGTAAACTTATCATAAATCTCAATATGAAAAACCTAAAATAATGCAAAAATTTCAAAATAAAAATAAAAAAAACTAACCCTCGGAGGTTGATTTTCCATTTCTGAATGATTGTGAGGGATTTTGACTGTGAATGGTTGTGAGGGATTTCGCCGGCGATGGGGACGGAAATCTTCGGAGATGGGGACGGATTTCGCCGTAGAGAGTGAGAGATGGAGATGGGACTGAGTGTTGTGTTTTTGGGTTTGAGGTTATGAGTTGCGATTACTGTGGACGGTTCATTTTCCGATTTATTAAGAAAAAATACGTGTTTGGAATTTGAAAAAAAAAATACGCGTTAATACGAATGGCGCTAAATAAATCGCGTTGCGAAAGTCAGTATCGTGTTGCGAAAGTCAGTATCGTGTTGCGAAAGTAAGTATCTCGTTGCGATTTTTTATTATCGCATTGCGATAGTCAGTATCGCATTGCGATTTTCCCAATTCGCGTTGCGATTTACTTATTCGCATTGCGAATTTCCCAATTCGCGTTGCGATTTACTTATTCGCATTGCGAATTGGGAAAATCGCAACGATACTGTAGACCATCGCAACGCGATTTTCAACTATCGCATTGCGAAAATGCAACGCGAATTTGCGATAATGGAGACCGCGTTGCGAATTAGCGATCGCATTGCGATTTTGTTGGTCATTTTGGCAAATCCGAAAAAAATTGGTTAAAATCGTATATTATATGTGATTTTTGGTCACTGAGGTTATTTTCTCAAAAAACATCATCTTCTTCAATTTTAAACATAAAATATTTCATACAATTTTAAAAATTTTCTAAAAGGGTAGAAAAGTCATTTAGAGTCCGTATCCCTGTAAACGTATTTGTTACTAATCAAAGCTCTCTTCTTTGTTGAAAGACCAAAATTTGTAAAATGGCGGCGTCGCTGCTATTCCCTGTCCCAACTCCGACGAAAGCACCCGTTTCTTCTCCGATCAACTCGCAACTGAAATTAGTCACCTCCGGTCGCCGTTTAGTCTCAGTACCTCCCAAAACCTCCTCTCAAAATCACCGGCACCTCGAACAATCGTCTGCTTTTTCCCGTCAAGGCAATCGAAGAAAGCAAGGAGAGTGTCGAAGACTCGGTGACCGCAAAGGAAGCGGAGGCAGAGACGGAAGTGAGTGAGGAAAGCGAGTTGAGCGCGATTGGAACGGAGATAAAGAAGGCGATGAAAAAGAGAGAAGAGAATGGCGATAGCCTTGCCGGCGGAGTGACGGAGGAGGTAAGGGAAATCGAGTGGCCTGCGTTTGGGAAGGTGTTGGGGACCACCGGTGTTGTCCTTGGTGTTATTTCTGGATCTAGTGTCGTTTTGCTCACTGTTAATGCCGTTTTGGCCGAGCTCTCCGATCAGGTTTTCGCCGGTAAAGGCGTCCAAGATTTTTTCGGTTGAACCTATTTTTTTAATTTCAGTTTTCATGAAGATTTGCCGAAATATAAAGCGTTAATTTTTTATTTTAATAATATGAGATAAATATAAAATATTAACAGATTAAAGATAGTTTTTAATGTTTTAATATTGAACGTTAACATCTCTGATATCTGTGATATTCGAATTCAGATCTTTAAGGATAATAATAATTATTTTAATATTGATATTATTTGATTCGTATAAGTATTAAATAGTTTTAAATAATAATTAAATTAATAAAATGTATAAATTAAAAATAAGAATTATTATTATATCAAGATATATTAATTCTTTAAAGTATTAAATTGTTTTAAATAATAATTAAATTAATAAAATGTATAAATTAAAAATAAGAACTATTATTATATCAAGATATATTAATTCTTTAATAATCTAACATGATTATATAATAATATTTATTTAAAAGTATTTTAATTAATTGATAATACATACAATTTAAATACATAATTATTTGCATTCAAAATCTCTAAAAGAATTATCATTTATTTAGATTAGAATTACATATTATAATCTTAATTAAATATTTAAATATTCTCTTTTCTCAAAAGTCAACAAATAATAATTATTGTATTTCTTTTTTTGTTTTTATTCGTCATATTCTTTATAAATACTAAAATAAATATGTCGTAATCGTTTTTTAATAATAATTTTGATATCTTTTTTATTTTATATAATTTACTATGTGATCAAATTTATCTCTTAAAATTATATACTTTATCAATATAGAGCATAAATTATGAGATGAATGAATTATATTATAATATAATCGCCATAATTCAGTTAAACATATAATTTATTAATTCATAAAGCATTATCAATAGTAAAAGTAAATGTTAATTTTTCTAGAGGTCTTGAGAGCAGTGATATTGTACGTGTATAAATTGTTAATAAATTAAATAAATTCTCAATAACTATTATCTTATAACCACCTCGTATTATTAAAACAAGTAAAAAAATTAAAATTTAACAGGAGATTTTTTTAAATTTTAATTGATATTAATTATATCATAAATAACTCCAACCCTATCCTTTTTGTATATATATATAAAACATAATGGCTTAAATTAGTAAGGTCAGATTTATTTTAAGGACTGGATTTTAAAAATCTAAAAGTATAAGGGATAAAGTAATTAAGTTAAAATATAAAGACTAAATCCATAATTTATACACAATACAACTACTAATCACCAAATTTAACCAAATAGTAAAAACCTTGTCTTTTTCCCAACACCACCCACTCCCAGTCTCCCCCAACTCAGATAACGAGCTTCGTCCTTAAACGACAACAGCAACCCTTCATTTCACTCCATCTCTATCTCCTCCATTAATTCTCATCAAACCAAAACACCCCACCAAAATTCTGAAGCTCAACCCCAGAAACCACCGTGGGTCACTTCGAAAATCCTCGGCACTGATAGCAAGCTCCTACAAAGTGGTATTGGAGCACGAAGGCAAGTCTACGGAGCTAGAGGTTGAAGACGATGAGAGTATTCTATCAAAGGCGTTGGAGGGCTTGGACGTGCCGCATGACTGTAATCTGGGGGTTTGCGTGACTTGTCCGGCTAAGCTGGTGAGCGGCACCGTTGATCAGAGCGAAGGTATGCTTAGTGATGATGTTGTGGACAGTGGGTTTGCTTTGCTTTGTGTATCGTATCCTACTTCGGATTGCCGTATTAAGACTATCGATGAGGAACAACTGCTTGCTTTGCAGTTGAAAACAGCTAATGATTGAAACTCTTGTTCTTTTCTTTTCTGTTGTTGTGTGTTGGATGATGAGATTGGTCTTGAACCAATTGGAGTCGGCTTGTTTGATTTGTATTTAGAGGAATACATTCCATCAAAGTCACAATAATTTAAAAGAATTGTTATTCTTTCTTAGAAATTTTGGATTCGAGTAAATACGTCTACAAGACCTACATATGTTGTCAAAAAGCAAAAAAATTCTAAACATATATTAACTTATAATCATCTCAAACTATTTAAAAATTATCGTCACATGACATTGATGACACAAAATATATCTCTCTCGGGTCTTTCCCTCGTACCTTTTCCAATCTTTCCATACCTATAGATGAACAAGGAGAAAGATTGATCCTATAAAGGACCCATGTGTGCAAACAACCTGGTAAAATTATGAATTATTTTATATTGAATGTTCATAGTTTTGACATTCATGATATTCGAACCTAGATCTCAAGGAATAACAATTATTTTTGTATACCCAAAAACATCCACAAGTTCATCGTTAGTGCTTTTGCTGATATTGTTCTTTGCCCACTGTCATCATCGTCATTGGAATCCGATACACTGGAACACTGCCGCCGGTGATACTTGGCGGTTATTTTTGTGCTTTGGACTCTTCTTGTTGATGTATCAGACAGACACTGTAGTTTTGGGCGTCGTATAGCTCAACATACAAAGAAAATGGTGTAGAAATATTTTTTTCTGGTTAAGTGTTCCTCCATATATTAATAATGGTGATCTCTCGATTCGAACAAGTTATTTGCTACATGTTGGGTCCATGCGTGTAGTGATGGTTATTGTAACAATAATTAAAGTTTCAGTTAGGATGGACACGAGATCCGAATTCAACAGGTTTCGAGTCAATTTGACTTAATTGAATCAGTTTTTTTTAAATGGATTTGGGTCGGATCATATCATTTTTTTAGTAAATAAATATTTAGGCCAGGTCTAGTTCAGATTTAGGGTAAAAAAATACTCGACACGACTCTACCCAAAAAATAATATAAATTTACCTTATATATTTAGAGATAATTATTATAATAATCTTCTAAATATTTTTTTTCAATTAGATCCCTATTTTTATTGAATAAAAAATAATATTTTTTTATAAATATATTTATTTCGGTTGTGTCGAATCAAGTTCGGATTTTATCTCAAAAAGATTAAATCAAATTAGGGTCAAGTGAAGTCATCTCTAAACTCTAATCGGATTAAATTTCAAACAGAGTGTATATAATTTCAAATCAAATTAGATTAACCAAAAACTCGACCCATACCCATCGATACTCTCGATTCGAAGCTTGTGCATATTTGTAGTTATTCAATGACAATCTTGGACACAAGAAAAAGAAAGTTAAAAGGAAAATGCATAAGCAAACCATGTCTGACTATATATGATACTCTTCTTTTTCATTTTTTAATTTTTTATTTCCGTTTATAATATATACTCGTGATCATCTTTTTTTATTTTTCTTCTTTATTGATCGACGATGATATTAATTTTTCGTATTTATGTTCTTTTGTGTTTTGTGATTTTCAATGAATCTATTTATATGGCACGTTTTTATGTGTCTTTGTAACGCGTTTTCGTCTACCTTTTGACATATATTTCATTTATTTGATCGTTTTTCATTTTTCTTTTTTAAAGAGTTGATTTGATGTTATCACGACTGATCAAAATGGTGTTTAGCTTATTTGTGATTTTTTAATAACTTGATTCCTTTTTGGTTTGTTTGATGATGAAAACAGATATGTTTGTAATTATTTTTGTTCAAGTTTTTTTGTTAAATTTTTAATCTTTATGTGATCTTAAATTGTTAATTTTGTTTGAATGAATTTAGAAAAATTTTCTAATTATGTGTTTAATTTATGATTGTGAATGAAAATTTTTATTATAATTTGAAATATTTTTTATTTTAAATGAAATTAAACAAAATAAAATTATTGTTTGTATAAAAAACATTATCTTCTTCAATTTTAAACATAAAATATTTCATACAATTTTAAATATTTTCCAAAAGGGTAGAAAAGTCATTTAGAGTCCGTATCCCTGTAAACGTATTTGTTACTAATCAAAGCTTCTTCTTTGTTGAAAGACCAAAATTTGTAAAATGGCGGCGTCGCTGCTATTCCCTGTCCCAACTCCGACGAAAGCACCCGTTTCTTCTCCGATCAACTCGCAACTGAAATTAGTCATCTCCGGTCGCCGTTTAGTCTCAGCACCTCCCATAACCAAACCTCCTCTCAAAATCACCGGCACCTCGAACAATCGTCTGCTTTTTCCCGTCAAGGCAATCGAAGAAAGCAAGGAGAGTGTCGAAGACTCGGTGACCGCAAAGGAAGCGGAGGCAGAGACGGAAGTGAGTGAGGAAAGCGAGTTGAGCGCGATTGGAACGGAGATAAAGAAGGCGATGAAAAAGAGAGAAGAGAATGGCGATAGCCTTGCCAGCGGAGTGACGGAGGAGGTAAGGGAAATCGAGTGGCCTGCGTTTGGGAAGGTGTTGGGGACCACCGGTGTTGTCCTTGGTGTTATTGCTGGATCTAGTGTCGTTTTGCTCACTGTTAATGCCGTTTTGGCCGAGCTCTCCGATCAGGTTTTCACCGGTAAAGGCGTCCAAGATTTTTTCGGTTGAACCTAATTTTTTAATTTCAGTTTTCATGAAGATTTGCCGAAATATAAAGCGTTAACTTTTTATTTTAATAATATGAGATAAATATAAAATATTAACAGTTTAAAGATAATTTTCAATGTTTTAATATTGAACGTTGACATCTCTGATATCTGTGATATTCGAATTCAGATCTTTAAGAATAATAATAATTCTTTTAATATTGATATTATTTGATTCGTATAAGTATTAAGTTGTTTTAAATAATAACTATATTAATAAAATATATAAATTAAAAATAAGAATTATTATTATATCAAGATATATTAATTCTTCAATAATCTAACATGATTATATAATAATATTTATTTAAAATTATTCTAATTAATTGATAATACATACAATTTAAATACATAATTATTCGCATTCAAAATCTCTAAAAGAATTATCATTTATTTAGATTAGAATTACATATTATAATCTTAATTAAATATTTAAATATTTTTTTTCTCAAAAGTCAACAAATAATAATTATTGTATTTCATTTTTTGTTTTTATTCGTCATATTCTTTATAAATACTAAAATAAATATGTCATAATCGCTTTTTAATAATAATTTTGATATTTTTTTATTTTATATAATTTATTATGTGATCAAATTTATCTCTTAAAATTATATACTTTATCAATATAGAGCATAAATTCTGAGATGAATGAATTATATTATAATATAATCACCATAATTCAGTTAAACATATAATTTTATTAATTCATAAAGCATTATCAATAGTAAAAGTAAATGTTAATTTTTCTAGAGGTCTTGAGAGCAGTGATTTTGTACGTGTATAAATTGTTAATAAATTAAATAAATTCTAAATAACTATTATTTTATAACCACCTCGTATTATTAAAACAAGTAAAAAAATTAAAATTTAACAGGAGATATTTTTAAATTTTAATTGATATTAATTATATCATAAATAACTCCAACCCTATCCTTTTTGTATATATATATAAAACATAATGGCTTAAATTAGTAAGGTCAGATTTATTTTAAGGACTGGATTTTAAAAATCTAAAAGTATAAGGGATAAAGTAATTAAGTTAAAATATAAAGACTAAATCCATAATTTATACACAATACAACTACTAATCACCAAATTTAACCAAATAGTAAAAACCTTGTCTTTTTCCCAACACCACCCACTCCCAGTCTCCCCCAACTCAGATAACGAGCTTCGTCCTTAAACGACAACAGCAACCCTTCATTTCACTCCATCTCTATCTCCTCCATTAATTCTCATCAAACCAAAACACCCCACCAAAATTCTGAAGCTCAACCCCAGAAACCACCGTGGGTCACTTCGAAAAATCCTCGGCACTGATAGCAAGCTCCTACAAAGTGGTATTGGAGCACGAAGGCAAGTCTACGGAGCTAGAGGTTGAAGACGATGAGAGTATTCTATCAAAGGCGTTGGAGGGCTTGGACGTGCCGCATGACTGTAATCTGGGGGTTTGCGTGACTTGTCCGGCTAAGCTGGTGAGCGGCACCGTTGATCAGAGCGAAGGTATGCTTAGTGATGATGTTGTGGACAGTGGGTTTGCTTTGCTTTGTGTATCGTATCCTACTTCGGATTGCCGTATTAAGACTATCGATGAGGAACAACTGCTTGCTTTGCAGTTGAAAACAGCTAATGATTGAAACTCTTGTTCTTTTCTTTTCTGTTGTTGTGTGTTGGATGATGAGATTGGTCTTGAACCAATTGGAGTCGGCTTGTTTGATTTGTATTTAGAGGAATACATTCCATCAAAGTCACAATAATTTAAAAGAATTGTTATTCTTTCTTAGAAATTTTGGATTCGAGTAAATACGTCTACAAGACCTACATATGTTGTCAAAAAGCAAAAAAATTCTAAACAGATATTAACTTATAATCATCTCAAACTATTTAAAAATTATCGTCACATGACATTGATGACACAAAATATATCTCTCTCGGGTCTTTCCCTCGTACCTTTTCCAATCTTTCCATACCTATAGATGAACAAGGAGAAAGATTGATCCTATAAAGGACCCATGTGTGCAAACAACCTGGTAAAATATAGGGAGAAAAGTGGAGCGAAGAAGAGAGTAATTGCAATTTGCAAGTAAAGAATTGACTGCTTAGGGATCTCAGAGAGCAAGTGATGCTCCATAGCCCTTAAGCTTTCACTTCGCTAGAGCAAGTCACCCAAAGGTCCCCAAAACACCTTGCTTAAAGAGAGGATGGGGTCCTTTTAAAAGTCCCCACAAGAGTCCCATCTTCCATGAAAACCAACATTGCATGTTGATGTTTTCAATGGAATCAAAGGCTGTCTAGCAATGATTAAGCCATCTCTTAGGAAACACAGGATGTAAAAAGGCTTATCAGATCAGATAAACAGTAGAAACATTTTTCCTACAAACTAATCCTACGTGGTAGTCTCGAGTTTAGACATTGTTACTTAACCACAATCACCTACTACTAGAGTTCTTTGCGAGAAGCACAGCAGTTCTAATTAAACAGACATCGCTACCATTAAAACGGCTAGTGATATTACAAACAAACCATTTTAGAAACATAAACCTAGGTCGGCCGGGTAGTAGTCAGCGTAACAGTGGTTACCATCACCGGGGTGGTTGTCATCATTGTCTATCGGTAGTAAGCCTGCTGGTATGCCGGTGCCAAACTGTTACTGTAGCCCCCATATGCAGTATAGTTCATGGGAGCTCCAGGGTATGGACCAGCGAGGGGAGGAGGGGCTGCTTCTGGTGAGTAAGTATAGGGGTTGGTGGGTGGGCTCCTGCTTCCGTACATGGCAGGTGGGGATGGGTATCCAGGGACTGGAGTGGGGTACTGGGTGTGCGAGGGAGACCTTACGAATGGAGGTGGTGGAAAAGAGGAAACGTATGCATTCATCAAACGGCCAGCCTTAGCTGGAGGCATAGGACCGCCATTACTTGCACGAGTTCGCTTGTTAGCAGGGACTACAACTGGCTTTCTCTTCTCAGTCTTGCTCTTCTCTAGCTGCTCAAGGCGTTTCTTGAGGTTTTCAGGCGAGAACTCAGCCTCGAGTTTGTACTCCTCAATGCACTTGATGACAGCTCGAAGAGCTGACTGCTCTTTGCGTGCGGCAAGTTGCTGCAAAAATAAACAAAGATTGCCGTCAAAAAAGCGATAGATGCAATGACATCACCATCAATCTATGCTGCACATGCTTTATCATATAAAAGAACATCGCATGTTAGTTTATTTCAGTTAGCAGGCAAATATATGACTGAAATAAAACCGCTTACAGCTTACAGCAAACCCCAGGAGAAAACCCTTGCATCAAACATTCACTCAAGTAAAATTGGAAAATCAAAATCGTAAAGAGAAAAACAAATCATAAGAATGAGTACCGCAGCCCGGCCAGTATTATTGGGATCATCTAAGATAGAAGATGCAGCCTTCTTTGCATCCCTCAAGAAAGCTTTCAGCAGGGGTGCAGGGGGGAACTTGTCCACAAGGCCAACTTCATAAGTAAAATGAACTGCATCGAGCTGTTGTCCCTTGCTGATTAACTCTTCAATCATGTCTATATACAATAATTGAAAGTGTTATAAACTCAACCTTATAATTGTAACTTAATGGTACGAATCACTGCAATTTCATACGGTAGAAATCCATGTTTGAGTTATGCAGGATACACCACTGGTTGCAAGACCAACACTGATGAATTCACATTTTCTCTCTCTAGCATACTACCACAACTGTCAGCTTTAAAAATAAACTTCAACACATATTCAACTCCATGAACATCTAGCTTCACTCGTCTTAAAATAAAGTATCGGTTCTTAACCTATTTGAATCACAACTAGGGGTCGGAATAGGCCAGGTCGTAGGCCCCTGTAGTCCGGCCTACGACCTGGCCTACATAAAGCCTGGCCTGACCTATTTAATAAAAAGGCTAGGCTCGGGCTTTTTTAAAAGCCTAATAAATTAAATAGACCAGGCTTAGGCTTATTAAAAAGCCTGATAGGCCGACCTATATATATGTATATATGCTTGTCATAATGGTGTCTACTTTGTAAAATGTGTCTAAGTTAGAGTGAATTAATAGGCACTTTATTCTAAAATTAGTGACTAAACTAGAAATATTTGGCTAAACTATAGGGTCTAGAAGGTAATTAACCCTAAATCTAATATATAACCCTAAAACTAAACTAACCACCTCTCCCCAGTTTCACTCTCTTCAATCTCTCCCCCTCCAATTATCTCTCACGAGTGGGCCCCCACCATTGCTTCATTCTTTTTTAGTTATATTTCCATTACAAACAAAGAGAAATAACAACAAAAGTGAAACATGGACACAGTATGGGCGGCAGCTAGGGGTCGGAATAGGCCAGGCTTTAAAAGGCCGGAGCCTGGCCTACGATAAATTTTTTAAGCCTGAGCTTGGCTTATAGCCTATCAAAGGCTTTTATTTTTGGCTCGGCCTGGCCTTTTTAAAAGTCTGGTCTAACCTAATAGCCTTTTTAAAAGCCTGCTTCACATTAAACCTTTAATATTCCTTTGATAGTTGTTTTTACCAAAAAAATAACACTCCTATAATAGGCTAAACAAACCCTTAATATATAATTTGACTTAATTTTTATTCTAACGTTAATTTAGTTGGACACACATATATTGGTACCCAAAAAATTAATATAAATATTATAAACACCAATTTTTGTCCCCTATACACAGTACCCAAGGTCAGCACCATACCTTGCTGTTCTCGACGCATGCACTAACACACCATTAAATGCTGTTGCTGCCCATACTGTGTCCATGCTCCACTTTTGTTGTTATTTCTCTTTGTTTGTAATGGATATATAACTAAAAAAGAATGAAGCAATGGTGAGGGGGCCTGCTCAAGAGAGATAATTGGAGGGGGAGAGATTGAAGAGAGAAAGAAACAGGGGAGAGGGGGTTAGTTTAGTTTTAGGGTTATATATTAGATTTAGGATTAATTACTTTCTA